GTGTGTGTGTGTGTGTGTGTGTGTGTGTGTGTGTATGTTTCTAATCGCTCGGGGGCTTTTAGGGAGTCGCAGGTAGAGCTGGGCAATGAGTCGCTTTAGCAAAATCCGGATAATATGTTAGTGCACCTCTTCGGCAAATAATAGGATATGAACCGCTTCGGCAAATGGGTTAGCATCACTTCAACGAATGGATGCACCCACTTCGACAAGCGGATCAGGAAACGGAGTTAAAAGTCTGAATTCGGACAATGTTTTATTGATAATTATCCGGTTTTCCGGAGAGATTATCCGGATTTTGCCCATCTGTAGTCGCAGGAAGGGGAAGGGCGCTATCGAGGGTTGTTTGTTGAAATTTTTAATGATAGTACAAAGTACAAGTAGTAGGACCTATTAGTTAATATTTCGACCAAACATAGTGATTAGCCTACTTGTTGTTTAGTCTTTCATCAACTCTATTTAGACACTAGACAATACATGGTCACTTTTAAGCACAAGCGGGCTATCCCGAAAAATGCTGTTTTGAGAAAATCGAAGGCAAAGGTTTTGCCCCTTGTTAAGTTTCTTTAAGAGACAAGGAGAGTTTTCTCTATAACCAAACAAATATTCACTCCAGTAAAACCAAACTTCTCCTATAGGTAGGGCAATGCCCACTTTTGGTGAAGGTCAATATTTCTAGAAACCCCCGAAATCTGGGTTAGCCCGCTTGTCCTTAAAAGCGACCACATAATGGGTGGGATGCCTTGACCCTGCCTGCCAGAGCCAGCGGGAACTGAGTGGGAACATAATAATTATTATTATGAACAACATCCCAACAGACAGCTGAATACAAAAATAAAAGAGCTATACTACCGTAAGCTGACAAAACGCCTTTTTTTATATTTCATTTGGCGTCAAATTATTTTATTTGCTTAATCGAAAGCCTGATCCGTTATTCTACTTGTGAGAAAAATGAAAGTGAAATTATGACTAGTTTTTGAATAAATCAAAATTAAAATTTCTTTAAAACACAAGGCCTATTTATTTATAAATGGTTACGGCGACAAATAAAAAACAAATTGTTTCTCGAAACTGCTGTGAATTTTTTTTAAAAGGCGTTTTCTCAGCTTACGGCAGTATGCTGTGAAATGTTTCCCCTCTCCTTTAAAAGATTGCTTCGCTTCCTGCATGGGACCGGGCGTCGTTTTCGCGTACGATTGCAGGTTGTCACTATCAGGTATCACCATTGACTTACTATACAATATCTATAAAAAGTACGTCTATGGGTATCACCCAGGAGTTGGAATCGAATTCGTGTCATGTGCGTGAAGAACGAAGAACCACCCACTAATAAATCCACGTTCACCGATTCTTACGCTGTGTTTGAACAAAGTTTTGCACTTTTTTTTCTTTATTTTGTATGAAACTGCTCCCCATAGAGGAAGCATAAAGTGACCTTTTCCCCCCTTTTTCTTCCATCCCGTTTTCGCTTCCTTTTCCATTAAGAAAAGTCCACATCACACAGTAACACTACTTTCATGAACAAAGGCCCACGGGAGTTGTGAAATTTACATTCACTCCTTTATGTTTTATGTATTATTTTATTTTCTCTTTTTTTGTTTTTGAATCAACCTTATTATTATTTTTTTATTATTA